CTTTTCTTCATTCTCATGCATAGAACTAGTGTCACTGTTGTTAGTATCATTCAAAGTAGATGGCAATGAATTTGTTTTCGTTGGTGAGAATACATTATCAGCACCATCTGTTCCTTTTTCACTGTTGCTGTTATTACTTTTAGTTGAATCACCATTATCCGCAAAAAAACGATTTGTCTGAAAAAAAATATATTAATTAGAAAGAGTTTTATCAATATTTATAATAACTGTTACAAATAAATATAAAATTATTGTTAACACTTTAGAAATATTATACTTACGATTCCCAAGTGTCTGATCTGTTTTTTTAAAAAGCATTCAATTAGAGTATATTTACTCGAATGTGAAAAGATATTTAAACCTCTTAAGAAGACATAAAATCTTTTTCTGTAAGAGAAACCCTACATCTCTAGTATCCACCAAGTATTGGACGTAAAGTTGTTATTTCTTGATGAGCACTTGTTCGGTAAATCTAAATATCTTTTCATATTCGAGTTGCCCTACGTAGAACAACTCGAATATGAAAAGATATTTAGATTTACCTGCTTAGAAAACTGGTTGTATTAGAATTTTTTCACTCACAGTTTCAGGATGGGTCTCCAGCTACCTAGTTTCTACAAGTTAGTACTTATCAGACGAAAGCAGAGAAACGGACATCAGATTTTTAATCAGTATAAAAAATAAATTCTAACTGAGTGCTTTTTCCTCCAAAAAACAACAACAAATTAGACACTTAAGAATGTTCCCTCGTTAATGAACAAAAATAGTGATATAATGATTTGATCATATAAATTATTTTACAATTGAGAATTGTTGAATTGTTAAACCAATTGTTTCTACTAAAAAATCTTATACTGATATCGACTGTCGTTTAAAATACAAATAATTTCATGTTAAGTTATTAACAATAGCTGTTTTTTCTGAAAAGACGTTTTTCACATCTAAGCAGCGTGTTTACAGATGAATAGATAACGAAAATTTCAATGTATCAAATATTCTAGACCCCTGCACCGTGCAGGCTGCACGGTCATATTGTCTTAGTGTGATATCTAGTTAGAAAGGTATGTTGCTTAGTTTAGTCCTAATCGGAACTCAAAAAATGTGTTAGTACAGTACTTTACAAAAGTAGCATCCCCCCTGTAACTTATATCCTAATGCATTAATGTACATCATAACCATGTGAAAATATAATCCAAAAACGTCTAGTAACAAAATGTCTAGATTTAGGTGACCAGTCAATTCGTCACAAGTCCTTTTGCCGCGGTCAATTAATTGCATGGACTTTGTCGCAGATCCTTTTGTTGCAGGTATTCGGTTGCGGATAATTGGTCGCATGATCTTTTTTTGTCGCAGGGATGATTCGTCGCATCGAGTGGAAGGGATAATTAATTGTACCTACTGCAACAGATTTTTCTCTTATGTTTTCTCGATGTTGTTGATCTCTGATTACAAAAAGAGAGCAGAAGCCTAGCTACCTTATTCGGTTTTCCTAATATATTATTTTTATAATTATATCTTTCATTTAATACTGGTTTCGGTTACGTCCTTCGGATATTTGGGCGCTAACCACCGTGATAAATCATTGCTTTCCCTTTCTCAGTCAAGAGCTTGTCAATATCAGACAATTGAATGATGTGAACGTAAACAGTTGGAGAGAGAAATGATTTGAAGCAATTTCCTAGCCTATCTGTATGAGAGCGATATGACGGATTGATAGAAGAGAAAAGAATCAAAGGAAATAAATGGAAAATATAATTTATCAGGAAAAAACGAATAAGGTAGCTACGCTTTTGCTTTCGTTTTGTGATCAGAGATCAACAACATCGGAGAGAAACGCAAGGGAAAAATCTGTTACAGTAGTTACGATTAATTAGCCCTTCCACTCGATGTGATGAATCATCCCTGTGACCAATCACCCGCAACCGATGTCTACGACAAAAAGATCTGCGATAAATAGTCCATGCAACAAACAAACGTAGTTTGTTTTCTGCAGCTTGATTGATCCATTAATATGGCACAGAGACCGTACTGATGATGGGTTGCTGTTTATCTCTCTCTACTTACTGTTACCTTTGTTCAAGTAAAATATCGTATACAAAGCATATGATTCTCTCTCTCTCTCTCTCTATTGCTATCGTGTTCAAGTAACTAACTTCTCACATGTAAAATGCATGATATACGAAAACTGTGTGACTATATATATAATAGAACCATATGTACTTTTGCTCGATTGTAAATATTTTTAGTCTGTACTGATGATGAATCGATGATTTGATTCGAAAGTTCTACAGCATATTTAAATAAATAAGATAATATTTGTGCCATATTAATGGGTTGTCAAGCTGCTGAAAACAAACTACGTTCCAAAAATTCTGCCAATATCTAACATTACTAGTCCATGCAACGAATTGACCGCAGCGAAAAGACTTGCGTCAGATTGACCAGTCACCTTTTCAAAAGTGTATGCACTTAAAGTACAAATAATTGTCCACAAGAGATGAAAATTTCAAGTGTAGTTATCACACGTTTTGTCACTGCCACTCAGAGTTATGATAATTCTACTGGAAACTGGTTAAAGCACAGTGTGTATAGAGTTGAGATTGACACCTTCTTGGTAATGGTTCACCTAGACATTTTGTTACTAGACGTTTTCTGGATTATACTTTCACACACTTTCCAATGAACAAAATTCATACTGTCAAGAGAGAAAACTCGTGGATACATTTAGGTAAAAAGAAGGTTTTATCTCTCTTGCATAAGACGTTATTAACGCTTTACACAAAAGAAATAAAACGCTTATATCTGACAAAATTAGAAGTCTCTAGTTAACATGGTTCTTGTGTTACAGAGAGGGGTACTGCTTTTGTATAGTACTGTAGAATTGCGTTTCAAGTCGGATCGAACATGTTCATTGTATCAACAAATGCAGGTCAACCATTTTATCTATTATCTCTGTTGATTTCTCTCAAAAACAAAGGATTATCATGATTTACTTACTCGTTCATAATGTGGAGAAAGTATTTGAACTGTCGGTTTTTCTCTTATATTGAGTTGTTCAAGTAAATTAACTGGTGCTTCATAGGCAGGAGTTAGAGATTTTATTGAATTTGACCTTTGTGATGATGGTGATATCGTAGTGGCTAAACCATCTAAAACTATATATCGAAACTGAAATACTTTTACTAAGTAATAAAACGACTTACCCGAACTTCTTCGTAGTTGAGATTGAGATTTTTCACCATATTCGGTCAAGGATGGTTTTCTATTTGTACCGTTGTTACTGGTTTCGATATCCATCGGTTTTGATTCAGACAGTGCCCGTGATAAAGAATATGTTCTAGTAGTGATGTGATTCAAAGTTGGTGACGATGCAGCACTGGTGCTTGATGTCACAGCTCGATTATTAGTAACATATTGACGTTTTGGACCGGAAATTAATGCAGCACGACCTTAATAAATTTGAATATGTCGGAAATAAAACAGTTAATTATTTCTAAAGATGCATAGAACTAAATTTTTATAAGCAGCGAGAAAAAAAGCGCATATGCTACTTTCGTGTTTTTTTCTTACACTAATTTCTCTTTTTAATATTCTTCATCCACATATGATGAAGAATAATCATAAAACAAAGCAAGAGGGGAAAAGTCCTCGCAGCGAAACAGTGTGCCAAAATATTAAATTATCTTTAAAATCTGTCTATATTTTTAAAATAGGACGGTAATAGTTTTGATCTTGGAAAAAAATTGCAGAATGCATCTCATATACAATAACTTGTATAAAAAACGCACAAAAGATCCCAATTTTCTTTGTCGATCTTCTCACTTTCATCTCGCTGACTCACACGCTGCCTTTGATCTTATTTAAATTTTTGTATACAGGATCCATTGTGCATTTTCACCAAGATCTTTACTGATTTTATCCTTTAAAATATGACTGTGTACGTTGATTAATCTGTTTTTTACTTTTGAACATTCTGTTCATAGCAATGAGACAAACACAAATGGAGTATTTTTCCTTTCAGCTAGTCAAAAAAGTATGTAACTAACGGAGTAATCGATGAAAACAAATCAGATTCACAATTTTTTAGTAATATGATTGCGTACAAATGGCACAACACTTAAAATAAGCGAATTTGTTATACTTGAATTTAGATCCGGGGAATTTAGACCTAAAAGAAGAAACATAGCACACAAACACATATTTATAGACAAAAAAAGCAATTTTGCTAAATTAAAACGTACTAGAAAATATTTAATTACCTGGATGATTGAATAATCCAGGTTGACCTGCCACAGCGGGAGATGAAAATCCTAAAATATTAAAAAAAAAAAATGAAATTGAAATTGAAACTTTAAATATATGCTTTTTGACAAACAAAAATGTCTAGTCATTATCATAGTTGAGTTCAAAAAAAAAAAAAAACTTTATAAATATATCAAAATCACAATAATTATCACAACTATTTAACACAATGATTTTTTTATATGACCCTAGTGAAATTTTTATCTATTATTAATCAATTGCAGTTGATCTAATATTTGTTTATTTTAAAGAAAAAGATTGTGTGAAATTTCATCCATATTTTTATATAGTGAATGGAGAGTATTGACCGACAAGTACTGTCTGTATACAGTAGAAAAAGAAGAAAGAAAACCCTTATTAACAATTAAAATCGACTAAAGCATAAGTGTGTATATATAATAAAATGAACGATGCATCTCCTATCAATCAAGATTAATAATATTTAAGTGAAAGAAATTTTTCTTTTCATTCTCTCCACCTCCTTATATTCATTTACAACCATTTAATGAAAATATCTTCATGACACGATCTTCTTCACTCTTCATTTTCTATTCTCATTGAGTTCGTTTTTATCTATATCGAAATGTATATGAATGGGTATGGTACAAAAATATAAAAAAAATTTTTTAAACAAATTTGTATAGACAATTTTTTTTTTTTTTTTTTTTTTTTATTTTACTAAGTAAAAAAGATCAACTATGATAATTAAAATTATTCTAATTCTGATTATAAATCATAAAATATTATGTGATCAATGTTTATCTTGTCAATTATCATCATCATGTTATGAATGTTATAATAAAATTCCAAATGATTTAACAAATATTGAAATATTTCATTTAATTTGTACAAAAAATTTGATGATTTTTAAAGATCAACAAAAATTTTATTCTATTATAAAAAATTTTTCAATGATAAATTGTACAATGAATATATTTTATTTTGATCAATTTACAATGTGGAATTATTTAGATAATTTATCATTAACATATGCAAAATTAAATCGTTTATCTAGTAAAAATTTAAATCGAACACCATTAATACCACCAATATCACCTATTTTATATACATTAAAAACATTAAATTTATCACATAATTCATTAAGAACAATAACAAAACATTTTTCATATTATTTTCCATCTTTAATTAAATTAGATTTAAGTTTTAATCATTTATTATTTATTAAACGTAAAACATTTACTGATTTACAATATCTTAAAGAATTATATTTAAATAATAATTATTTAAAACGTATTTTAATTAATGTTTTACCTAAAATATGGCTTAATTCTATTGATTATCAAATTGAAAATAATAATAATTATATTTTAGAAATAGATAAAAATCCATGGCATTGTACATGTAATAATTTATTATTATTAATGCCAAATATTCTTCAATTTAAATTAAAACGAGATAAAATGCCATTATGTCATTCACCAATAATATATGTTAATCGTTATTCATATGATATTGCACAAGAATATAAAATATGTTCAAAAAATTATTTTCGACAATCATCTACATCATTTTTTATATTATTTATTGAAATAGATCAACTTCAAATTAATTTGACATGTACAATAGTGGTAAATAATGAAAAGATAAATGAGACGACAATGACGATAAATAATGAAAATTTTAAAAACGTTTATTTATTATCGGTATGGAAAACAGATCAACAAAATATTTTTCATTCAATATCAAATGAACAATTTATTGATAAAATGATAAATAAACAACAACGTTTATCATGTCTAGAATTAAATAGTTATAAATTAAGTTCAATGTCATCCTTATTATTAGTAAAAAAACAATCTCAACAAAATAAATCCATATTAACTATTGAAAATTTTTATTTAAAATCATCTACAATAACAGGTATAGCAATTAAAATTAATTTCATTGTTTCTACTCTACATTAAATATCTCCATTAATTTTTTCTATAATATAAAAAATGTTATATTTTACTTGTCTTTTTTCTTTTACAAATATTTTTTTTTGTTTAGATCATCCACAATTATTGACAAATATATCATTTACTTCGGTAAAAATTGATTCTACTGTCATTATTTCAACAACAACAACAACAACAACATTATCATCAATAAGACTGATTAGAGAGGAAGAAGAAGAAAATGATCAATCAATACTTCCAGCATTTTTTCTATTTTTATTTAATGCGAGTAAAAGTATTCTACCAACATCATTACGAACACCACCTCGACGATTACTTACAGTATGGCTTATACTATTATGTATTGCATTATTCTTTTTTATATTTCTTGTATGCCTTTTACAATATAAACATTATCGAATAATTGCTGAAGATAATTTATCAAATAAAGATAAACAAATGGGAAAACATACTATTAATGATGATATTACAAATTGTTCATCCTATCAAGTTAATGAAGATGAATGTATATTACTTGATCCTGATGTTCGTCAAATACATTCTTGTCCAACATCTGAAAAATTAAATCGTCGTCAAAATATAAAAAAAACATCATACGATGATATATCAATAAATAATAGAAATTATTTAAAAAATTTTAATTATTTACAATGTAAAAATCAACAATGTACATGTCAATTTCATCGTCGACATCATTCAATGCTTTTAACATCAACATTATATGATTATTCACAAACAAATTGTAAACAAAAATATAACAATATTAATCAATTATCTTTATAAGAATGATTATAAATAGTAAATAATTTATTTTAGAGCACGTGAGACAAAAATGCATAGAATTGCGCAAGTCTTAGAAATTCCTATTTCATCACCATATATAAATCAAACATTTCTTGTCGCTTCAGCAGGCAAAGGATTTTCTCAACAAATGTTAGGTAAGTATTTTTAAAAAATTTTATAAAAATTTATTATTTTGTTATTGGTTTAACAAATACGACTGTTCTAAATTCTCCCACTCGACTATTAATTATTGGTGTTTGAATTTGATCAAGTTTTCTTGTTGTTTTCAATGATAATCGATTAATATTTCAACTTTTTTTTTTTTTTACCGAGCACGTCCTTTTTTTAAATTTTGTTTTGCTGTCATACATCGTATATGATCATCAAATGTAAATTTTGCACTTAACGCAGGTGGATTTGATTTAACATAAACATTATTTGCCGGTTTATGAATTGTAATATGTAATGATCGACTATCTTCTTTATCACCGGCCACTTCTACATCCTAAAATAGTGATTTTCAGATTGATAATTAGAATAGTTCAAAAATAGAATGTATATACCTGCATAAGATCACAAAATTTAACAATACCCCAACCTAAACGTTTAACATCAGGTTCAATCAAAATAAATTGCATTGGATTTGTTACAAGAAATCGACGATCTTTTCTAATATCATAAAATAAAAATTGTTATAATAAATGGAGTAAAATGAAAATTTTATGTACTTTTCTTTCATATGAACGGTACAACAAATTAAATCACTATTATCTGAAATTTAAACACTTTTTATTAAAGAAAATTTTATTTCATTTAAATGTGTACATACTTAAATCAAGAGCATCATTTTCGTTAACTAAAGTTTCTTGCCGTACCAACGGTAAGAGTGTTTCAACTGTTGAATTTAATTTTAATGATAACGCACGTAACAAGAAAAATACACGAATCGACTAAATATAAAGCATAAAAATGAGTTTTTTTTTAATTAATCTAAATAAACATTCTTACTCTTCTTGCTCGTTCAATATCACCAGATGGCAAACGTTTTATAAACTCAATTCCACTCAAAGGTGTTGTAGTGGGTGGTAATAACATACAGGCATCTTTCAATAAATATTCTAATCGAACAGGATTAATGTGTATTTGACGATATTCATCTTCAAATAAATCCAAGAACATTTCTTGATCCTAAAAGTAGAACATATATATATCTTATATAATAAATTTCATAATTGTTATAATTACTTTATAATGTCGTCTTAAATCTTCTGTTGCTTGCTCTCGAGCATGTTCAACACAAGCAAAATGATGATCAGATAATGATGATACACATTTTTGTTCATCATAAACAAGGCTTTTCAATATCGTAATAGTTAAATCTAATGTCACAAGACGAATATTCGAATCTAGAATAAATTAATTGGATTATCAGTAAAAATTATATTAACAAAAAACATTATCTTTTTACCTGGTAATGTGGATAATTTAAGAATTTCACATAATTGATCTACCAGAATAGTATTATAAAATTGCTTTTCCTTAATTAAAAAATAAATTCTACAAATTTTTCTATCATATCATTAAAAAGAAAATAACTTACCTTTGATTTTACTGTTAATCCAACAGATTCTAAAATAACACTATCCACAGCTAAAGAAATTTAGAGATAAATATTAATTAACTTATAAATTATATGAGAACTAGCGAAATCAACAAAGAGTATATAAGTAGTTATCACTTCAAAATAATTATGATGTTTCTCAAAAAATCTTTTTGCGTAAGGATAATTATGAGCAATAATCGACTACAGATATAAATTTCATATTTTTTACATACATGGATTGTTACACATGGTAAATATTAAACTAAGAGAATAAAAACATTTTTGATCGTTTTCAAAGCAATCCAGTGCACTAATTAATGCTTCAAAATATGGCCTAAATAATATCAGAATAAAAAGTAGTTCTTATTAGCAAACGCATCATCAGTGATTTATCTAGTGTGTAGGCCAGGTGGACAGCGTCCACCCGATTTTTCGCTTCGCCCTCCCCAAAAACCAATAGGTGATTTCGTTTCAGCAAAAGTTTTTTTTAGCCAACAGCCCCTCCAAAAATTTCAACCGCCCACCCGAAAAACGAAATCTAGATAAAACACTGGCATTATGCAAAGCTGTTTACCGTTGTGCCAGCTGTAAATCATTAAATGATGTATGTGTAAATTGTCGTTTGCATTTTTCATCATCTGTCCAATTAGATACGAATAATGACTCTGTTTTCGATGTTACTGACGAGACTGATGATGGTGTAAGAGATGTATCCAATTTTTGAGGTGAACGATCACGACTTATTGATGACGATCTTGATGAAGATGATAATGGTGGAGAAAGATTTGCACTTATATTTTTTCCACCTTCATAACGTCGTACAGCATCATCATCATTGATATCCACAACGTTCAATGAAACGTCACCTATGATAGAAAAAAAGAGAGAATATAATACATTTTTAAGAGTTTAAAAATTACTATGTACTACCTGCTTGAGATTTTTGATTTAATTTTTCTCTAGAATCTGAGTTTGCCAAACAGACACCAAGTGGTGCAGGAGGTGTCGTAAATAGTACCTAAAAATAAATAATTCTTATATAATTTGATACTCCACTACCATTATTTAAAGTTGATAAACAAAATATTTTCATTATGTTATTTAAAGTAGAAAAGTTTCATATATACCTGTTCGCCGAATCGTCTTTGTACAGCTTCGACTGTTTCAATATCAGCTGATAAAATTATATCAGCTAATTGCTCAACAATCGGCATATAATGAATAACAAGAAATATCTAGAATAAAAAAAATAACTTGTCTTATTTAATTGTAACTGTTTTCTACTCTACATTTACTCACTTCTGCAAGTAAAAATAATGATGATGCTTGATCAACCATAACTCGAGGATCCTAAATAAAAAATAATTAATCATTCATTAAATGAGAGAGTATCGTCAATGAAAAAGATTATTACTTTTACTCTATGAAATTTATCTCGTTTAATCAGTGAAAAAACATATATAGGTACAAGTAAACGATTCATTAGTTGATCTTTCAAAACAACATTTAAATTATCAACTTTTAATAAGAATATGTCTTGTAAATAATGTAAATGATCAAGATATTCTTCAAGTGCAAATGTTAAATTACCACGATTGTTAATACTATAAAACATCACAAGAAATTAGATATCACTTTATTTAAAATAGGATGTAAATTACTCGCGATTATTTCTTATTAAATTATCAAAATCGAGTATATGATTTCTCATAAACCAGACAAAATTTGAAAAATATTGTGTCGCTGTACGATCTAATATATAACGATGCATTGCAGGATCAGAGACTAAAAAAATTAAAGTATACAGTTCAATAATTCAATGTTGAAGTTATATTTTGTTTTGTACATTTACCTTTGTATACGTTGAGTGTTAATGTACGAACAGCAATGCGAATCATCGTTTCTGGATGATCAAAAAATTTAATTGCCTCAACATAGAGTGGAAAATCGTTGTTACGCTAAAATGAAAAGTAATATAGTGATGAGAAAGAAAAAGTTTTAATCTAATCTGTTTCTACTTACTTCATTGTAAAAGAAATTGATTGAAGATGAATTAAGTTTTAATGATAATGTTTTAAGAAAGGATATGTAATAGGCTGTTATTTCTTCATCAGAAAAATCAAATCTATGCATGATTATATTGTTAATATGATTGTTTGATAATAAATAATCTAAAACAAATAAAATTTATTCTCTATAGTACTTACATATTGTTAAGATTCTTATTTGCTTACATAAAGATGTTTCATTTCGAATATTTTCAAATAATATATTTAATGTTTGTAATAATTGAACACAAATATATCGACCATATTTTTGACGCATATAACTCAAAAAATAATTGAGCATGCCTTTTTCCAAAAAAAAGCTAAACAAGAACGAAAACTATTATTTATAGTAAAAAATGAAAATCATTTGATATAGCAACATACTCAAATACAGAACTATCATTTTGATCACCCCATATTAATATTTCCGATATACATCGTAATGTTTCAATCAATAAATCTCGATTACTATCAGATACTGTTTGATTTCGTTGTAATAAATTACATAAATATCTAGAAGTGAAAACGTTGTTCAGGATAAATACAATGAATGAAGATTCGTAACTTACTTTAAGTTTTCTAGTGAATGCTGATTTTTAGGACGAACGGCACCAAATAGCCCTTTTGCACGAGACAGCATAGACATAGAACAGAATAGACGGCGAACTACCTAAATGTAATCTGAAACAAAGAAAGTAATACGATACCTATTTTAAAACAGACAGACAGTGTTTTTAACTTAGTAACGTCATTCAAAACCCGACGATGCAAACAAGGCCAACAAGACATGTTATTTACCAAGATGCTCAACGTCTTTCATACAGTGCTATATGTATTACAGAAGCAAATTTATTAGTAGAGACTGATTTTTCGATAAGTTAACAATACGCCCACGGATTTCTTCATCCGAATCATCTAAAACACAGCTTTTCAAACCTTTGTAATCATATGCAGCATATATATGTTATATTCCTTGTAAAGACCGATCTCAGTAACAAACAGCATATTTTTCTGTTTTTATCAACTTTTTAATCTTTTGCTTTATTGTTCAATATGTTTTCTTTTTATTGGAAACGAAAACAGTTCCATATCAAGAAAAAACGGAAATAAAAATAACAACACTGTAAACAATACAAATATTTCCATTTTTGATATTTCTTATTTCATTTATTCTTTGGCCATCATTTTTTGTCGTTTAAGTTTCTTTTTCGATTCTTTTTTCTTTTGTGGTTGATCATCTTCGGTTGTACGCGACATGATATTTTCTTTTTCACTTAGAATCAATTCAACATGACATGGACTTGATTGATATGGATTGATACGACCATGTGCACGATATGTACGACGACGTATTTTTGGTGCACGATTT